GACTTATTTGAATTTGTAGCATCCATTTTTTTCATAACGCGCATAGTACATCACCTTTTGAGGAAATGAAATGTCAAATTTCGGTACTTTTTCTTTTCTGTGCATCAGCGCGGAATAATGCATGAAGTTTTATAGAAAGGAGCAGCGGGTAGCAACAACGACGCCAAATGTCGAGAACAAAATTTCAACACTGTGTTCTCTTCACTAGGGATTAATATCGCTTTGCATATTTGCATATTCAAGTAACGCCGCATTTCTTGTCGGAACAACGAAAAGAATATCATTATTAAATCCACTCATTATGCTTGAATTGGCGTTAATGGTTGATGCAATAATTATGTGTAAAGATTTAACAATATGCAATTCTTATTGTATAACAGATTCAGTATATATGTATATTTTTGTAGCATCAAGAAAATTTGTAATATATACTATATGTGTAAATTTTGGGGGAATATATCTTTAAATCGTTTTATACGGTTTTTTATAAATATAAATATTTCAAAAATATAGTTTACATTCAATTCATGTGTGTTTGTTTTTATATACACATATATATATATACATAAATAATAGATATAAAACAATAGATACCCAGCCAGAAATGATAGTTGAATCGACGTCGAATCGATGTCGAATCGATGGCGAATTGGTCGAATCGATATCGATTCGACGTCTTTTCGACCGATCTTTTCTAACGGTATAAAAACAATATAAAATAATGGATATAAAACAATATAAAACAATATAAAAGTATCTAAAAAATTTTATCAATAGAACATATAATGCCAGTAAAAATAATTGTGTAAGCCTTTGTCATTTAAGATATTATAAAGAAAGCTTTTAACTTCTTTTTAAGCTCAGAGATTGCAAAATAATACACAAATTTATAAGAACATTTATTTGTAAATATTAATTATAATTATTAATTATGTGAAAGATAAAAGAAAATTAAAAATATTATCCTCAAAATGTAAAATTTATATGTAGCTTGGAATTAAATCGCCGAACCACCAATAAATTAAATATGTTGAATTATGGGACATTATATTAAGAAGAAAAGCAAGCTTTTAAAAGCAACTTGTGTCATCAAAGCAATTTTACAAAATGAAAACAACGAACGACGAGAAACAAATACCGTTTTATGGCGTATATAAAACACTAGCGACGTGGCATTTCGTTTATTTTCTTTAAATTCACGGAAGAACGGAGTTAGGAATGGCATTCGCGAACATTTCCAGAATGTCGATATCGAGGAGACAGTCTAAAATGTCGGTGGTCTCGGAACGATGTTTGAGATCTGACGTTCGCAGTAGGTATACATTCCTCCTGATAAAATTCAGTCACCCTTCTTCAACACTCTTACATTTTTGTCGTATCCGCGTGTTGCTCGAAGCGCGGATAAGTATGAAGGGTCGCGATACACGCGCGAGGCAAAAAAAAAAGCGAAGGATGAAGGATAGCGTGCTGACGGAGGAAGGAAAGAAGAAAGAGAGAATACGGGGTGAATTACAGGATGCGTGACTGTTTCCCTCCGGCTCGTCTCCGTTCCACATTTTTGTCCCAATAGCTTTTCACGAGGCCAGATACTGTATTATGCGCGAGTATCATAAAAGCGAAGAAAAATCTCTGCCGTTTTTGTTATTGGCTTTAACAAAATTGATAAGTATATTACTTTTCGTCAGAGATTTGATAAGCAACGAGTATTAATGTAAATATATTATCGAATATATACACGCAACATACCAAGCAAATACTTCAAAAATACATCGTAAAACTTAAACTAACTTGATAAGTGTTTATAATGTCAAATCAAATAAGTATCTATTTAATTAAACTCGTTTTTAATTTAAAATTGTTACTTGTAATTAATTTAAAATCTAGAAATACATATATATATTTATTTATGTATGCAACAAGTGAAATAGTGAACTTAAAAAATTGTTGCGATAGATTTTAGCATGTTAATGGCATGATCAAAGATTATTTTCTTTTTGATGTTTTCGTTTTAAATAGATTTCTCGTAGTTTCTTATAAATATGTATACAGTAGATAGTTACTTTTTAAAAAATTCTGCCCTTAATTTCCTTTTATTCGTGTCGGTTTTACAAAATATGTCAGAAGTTCTCATAAATATGAATTTCATATAAATGCAACTTTTTATAAAAAAAATATAGCTTTTTCCCAGTTGTTTCCGGTTACTTCCGCATTGTTGTTTCCGGTTATTTTCATTCTAGTTGTGTTTATTTATTCATTTATATTATTGTGTTTTACACTTTATTTCTCTGTTTTTATTTATTTGTTTATATTCAAATAATTACAAAATTCAAAAAGTTGCGCGTAACTATTAAAATACTTTATCAAAAATGGATATTCTCTGTTTGAAACAAAAAAATAAGGATTAAAGTTTACGTCTTTAATATACTTTCTGTCGCGACTTCTACTTTTCTCGATATACAGAAGTATGAGATTTCGAGATTATTTACAACCAAGTTTATACAATCTAAACAGCTCTATGTTCAAGCAATAATTTACGAAACGCGCGTATAAATCCATTTTATGGATATAAGGCACTTACTCCTATAATACGGCAAATATATTTCTTCATATTTATACGATAATCGTCATTTCGCCATCCCATATATTTTCTTGCATAAATTACTCGGAGCGTGAGTAATAGAACGATTTAGGCTATTTTTATATCACAATAAAAATATAATACAAAATCACCTAATCTGTAACAATGTTTAAGCTCGTATATAAACAAACACAATGATAACTTATTAACTATTACGAGGCCATGTGTAACGAGCAAATAAAAAATTATTATAAATCTTGGAAAAACTTTAATTTAAAAAAACCAATTACAAACGTTTCGAACTGTACTCAGTCTTCTTCAGTGCGCAAAAAAACATTATAATAAATAAATAAATATAAATAAAAATTCTATAAAAAGTCGCAATACATTGTCAAAATAAATTAAATAATTATGTCAAAATTAAAAGGCGAAATAACGCTAACAATAAATTTAAATTATTAAAAATAGTTCAACCCGAACAGTCCCAATTAGATGCAAAAATCGAATTAAAATAATTTATCCGGCTAATCAATATTATTTTAAAAATTATTATTGAGAACTCGGAGTGGCACTTAGACATTACTCCAAACCAACCGCTCATCGTTAGTCGGCGAAAGGCTATCAGTTCGTATTTTTATATCGCTGATATGACGCGATAAATAAACGCGTTAGAGCTTTCTGCGGCGCATTCGCGCGATCACGTGCGAGGGAAATAAAAAGTCGCGCATTTGCAATCCAAAACAGTACAAGTTCGATACGTCGGTTCGGCATATCCGGCAAACTCACTCACTCTCTCTCTCTCTCTCTGCCGCGTTTAATGCATTAAATGGGCGAATCGCCGCGGTCGCCTGCAAAACAGCCGCCGCAGAACAGAATTCAATTTTCGCAGACGTGAACACGAATAGCCCGCGTCAATAAAGAATAGATGGATGATCCGTCCGTTAGCGACGGATGGGAAGGAACGAGAGAGATGAACCCCAGGTTTCGGAGCACTGTTTTGTCTCCCCACGCTTTCCATTCCTCAGGTGCAACTCTCTCCTCTGGTACATTGCCTGCGCGAACTCCACGACCGGGAATTTAGATAGCATCCGGATACCGGATGCTATTACGTCCTCTCTCTCTCTCTCTCTCTCTCCTTCTATATGTAGATGTATGTATGTATATTCTGCGAACTTTACAGCCTGTAGACTGCGATACTTTGAGAAATTTACAGTCTGAAAGATATTGCCGCGCGATATATACCGACCTTCCAGCTTCTCGTTATGTAGAAGAGGGAATCAGCGAGGACGAAAGGTCCTTCTGGGGATAAGAAGATGATTTCTGTTCTCGAGAGGGTCCACAGAGGGTAGCTGGCGGCTTTCGAGGCCTATTCCTTCTCTCTTTTTATTTCTTTCACACCGCTCGCGCCAGAGGAGAGAAAAACATTATAATGCTTATCCATCTGTCAATCCAATTCTCCCTCATGTATACCTTCGATCTTTTGTCTACCAAGAACGAAAGTATTCTATTTCATTTTAATCCGTAAATGGATTGGAGTGGGGGTAGTCGTGAGTTTTCGCTTAATTCTGAGATTGCGCCAACTAGACACTCTTTTCGAGCGGCGCGACGATCGCAGATGGGACTCCGCGAGTTTTTCCTTCCGTGTTTCATTAGAAAGGAGATACTCGATAGCCCGGATGGTTTTCTTGCGTAAATTTATCGCCCCGCTTGGAAAGTTTGATCGCGATTAAAATCATCGCGCGAACGCGAGAGTAATGGAGCGCGTTTGTTTTACTTAAAAGAGAAAGAGAAAGAAAGAAAGAGATTGTATTTAAGAAAATCGCCATGTTGACATATTTTATAGAAAAGAAAAACGATTTTATAATTTATGATCATCAAACAATTACGCCAAATTTTAATAATAAATATTTTAACTTAATAATTCGGGATAAATATTACTCAAATAAAAATTTTTGGAATATTATAGAAAAAGATTTTCAGTAAATTCCTATCATTTCAATTGCAATTAGATAATAGAATTTCATATAAGAATAAACAATAATTTTTTAGATGTTAATTTCAATAATGCAACACGAAAGATGATAATCTTTTAAGTTATATCTAAAGAAATTTCCTCAAAGTATTCTACTAGCTTAAGCGACGAATAATCCACCGAACGTCATTTTGACAACTAAAAGTAAGGTAGTTCTATATATTGCTCGTGCCTTCATAAATATTTAAATTAAAAAGTTAGAACCGCGCCTAATTTAACCTCGCGTATATATTCTCGGTTGAACGTTGTTAGTTTCGAGTCGCATTTTTGAAAATTTTCGTTCAACGTCAATTTGCAAAAATTTGAAAACAAATTTATGCTCCCGTTATTACACATTCTTTCGCAGAAGCGAACGCTAATAGTAACCGCCAACCTTTTTCTCCATTACAGAAATCCTGGAAGAAGAATTCAACTGATACGCGTCTAAGCCAGGGGATCTTAGAAACTGGGTGACCGGCCAAAGGGCCGATTAGAAACAGAACCTCTCTTCTTGCTCAACAAAGAGGATCAAGAAGCCTTATCGTACTTGCTATCCAATTGACAAAAAGGATCAGAAAAGAGGAGCAGAGATAGAGACGGAAAGCGGAAAAGGTCGCGGAACACTTAAACGTAGCCGAGAGTACATAAGTCGAGATGTCGAGCGCAGGTAGAAAGATGGAATTCCAGGCGAGACGCTCGAAAATCTCGTGATCGGTGTTAGCGCCTGGCCGAGGAGATAAGGAGGCGATCGACCGATGATGGAGGCGAGAACAAACGGTTCGTTCGTTAGGTCGATCTTCCGGAACCTAACCTCTCGCGAGCACCGAGCCTCGAACGAGGCATCCGAAAGCGAAGAAGCGGATCCCAACAACGTTATCAATGTGGTCAACGCAATCGTGCGGGAGGAAAAGATGGCGGACCTTCTGGATGACGCTCTTTCGAATAATAATAGCGACGTTATTGACGGCAGCATCGAGTCGAGCTGGTTCAACGACTCGACGACCGCCGTCTCGACCGTGTCGGATTCCTCCTCCTCTTCCTTTCTCGCGGAATCCTCATCCTCGTATTCTACCCCGAGCGTGGACAATTACACCGGCAGCGTGTCCGATCTCTTTGTCTTTGACGATTTGAACGACTACATCAACCGGCTCAACTACAGCGTCTTCGTGAACCTGACGGCCTATTACGGCGACGGGCTGAACCTGAGCAGTGTGAACTGCACGTCGTCGATAATCGCCGGAAATGCTGTCAGGGGTGAGTGCGATACGACCGGCGTCGACGAAAAGTCGAACAGTTGGTGGGCCCTGATACTCGTGATCGTGCCGTGTTTAACGCTCTTCGGTAACGTGCTCGTTATCCTGGCGGTAGTGAGGGAGCGGGCCCTGCAGACTGTCACCAACTACTTCATCGTCAGCCTGGCGGTCGCCGATTTACTCGTGGCGGTGCTCGTTATGCCGTTCGCGGTCTACGTACTGGTGAGTCGATTTCTCTTTGCAAATTCCTATGTAGACATGGGCGTCCGCAGAGGAAGGCAAGAGGAGGTATTTACCTCTCCTTGGATCAATACACAAATTAAACATTTGTTCTCCTTCTTAATAAACACTGGAATTTATTTAGTTGGCATATTTAATAGAAAAAAATGAAAATAACAAATAATTTCATTTTGAAAATTAAGAAAGGATGAATGAAACAAATTAATTTGTTCTCCTTCTTAATAACACTGGAATTTGTTAGCATATTTAATAGAAAAAATGAAAATAACAAATAATTTCATTTTGAAAATTAAGAAAGGATGAATGAAACAAATTAAACATTTGTTCTCCTTCTTAATAAACACTGGAATTTATTTAGTTAGCATATTTAATAGAAAAAAATGAAAATAACAAATAATTTCATTTTGAAAAATTAAGAAAGGATGAATGAAACAAATTAAACATTTGTTCTCCTTCTTAATAAACACTGGAATTTATTTAGTTAGCATATTTAATAGAAAAAAATGAAAATAACAAATAATTTAATTTTGAAAAATTAAGAAAGGATGAATGAAACAAATTAAACATTTGTTCTCCTTCTTAATAAACACTGGAATTTATTTAGTTAGCATATTTAATAGAAAAAAATGAAAATAACAAATAATTTCATTTTGAAAAATTAAGAAAGGATGAATGAAACAAATTAAACATTTGTTCTCCTTCTTAATAAACACTGGAATTTATTTAGTTAGCATATTTAATAGAAAAAAATGAAAATAACAAATAATTTCATTTTGAAAAATTAAGAAAGGATGAATGAAACAAATTAAACATTTGTTCTCCTTCTTAATAAACACTGGAATTTATTTAGTTAGCATATTTAATAGAAAAAAATGAAAATAACAAATGATTTAATTTTGAAAAATTAAGAAAGGATGAATGAAACAAATTAAACATTTGTTTTCCTTTTTAATAAACACTGGGATTTATTGAATAAGCATATTTAATAGAAAAAAAGGAAAATATTAAAAATTTTTAAATTTTAATCATGTCCTCTTCTGAAAAAAATCCTGCGGACGTTCGTGTATGTAGGTATCTAATTACACGAAGACGATTTCCTTCTAATCAAACATCTACTTGTACTCCTCGATCGATATTTCTCTTGTTTCTTGTTATTTCTTCGAAGGGACAATTTAGTTTGGATGCGTAACATATTAATCAATTAAGTGCAACGATAATTATCAAACCTGATGATAGTTACACAGTTGTAAAATGTTACTCATATTAATTATCGCGCTTGATTAATGTAATTGTATGAACATGAGTTACATGCTTTCACAAGACACCCAACTCTCACTCAGTATATGTAATTTATCGTTCACTTGATGTATTTATTTATTGCGAAAACTTTAGAACAGAATTATGTATCTTCTACAATTAATTATAAAACATTATTAATTATAAATGTTCTATAATAAAACCTGAGGATTAAGATGTTCTACTGTACTGACATTAATTAATCGAGTTAATACTAATTATAGACTGTTGTATGATTTGTGTAAATAAGCTAAGAGCTCCGAGAAGGGAGCCTCGCATCGATCGCGAGTTTAGCTGCTAATTAAACGCTATCATTGAACAACGTTTGCATATGTGCTCAATTATCGCCTTCATCTTCAAAATAAACAACAAAAAAATGTACATATAAAATGAGAAGAGTTTACATTTTTTCCCCTAAAATAATTCGATCTCTTTAATGCATGTATCGGCTATCGAAAAATGATAACCATTTTTCGTTAATTAGAAAACAGAGGATGAACCTTCACGCGAAAATCGAAACGTCAGCTCGACGTCTGCGAGAACGAATAATTAAGGTCGATCTGTCTATCATACATAAGAACACAGAAAAAAGGAATCCTTGATTCAAATATATTTTTATTCTTGAACGCTATTTGATTGATTTAAGCATAGAATGCTCTTTGTAATCACAAATTTTCATTTGCCTTAATAATAAATAAGTTTGTGTAAAGTATATTTTATCCTTAAGATATATTCTTGTTTTAAAAATCTTATATGGTAAAAACAAACTTAGTCACATTTGAACTATGAATTATTATATATATTTGAAAGTACCGCTTATATCCGATGCTCACTTGTCACTTGTCCTTGCAATATTTATAAGTAAATTTCAGGTTCAACCAAGAATATTTTGCACTTTGTTTTAAGGATAAATTATCCTTTATCCAAAATTATTTATATTTGTCGCTATTATAAGGATAAAATATACTTGAATCAAAGCATATTTGCATTCTTTCAAGGATACTGTTTTTCCGTGAATACATGAAATTTCGTCTAATAATTTAATGGCGCATCTATTCAGTACACGTACTCATTTAACCAAGCCAACTGCGTTCGAATGGAGAATGCTTTGAGATTCCTAAACGGGCACAGTAATTGTTCATATAGAACATTCGCGGAACAAACGAGACTGTTATGTTAAGGCAGTTCGATTCAGCGCGACAGTCGGAGTACATGCACGTGAATGAAAACAGAATTAGTCAATTAAAGCCATATCGGATAATTCTGCGGGTGACTGCTACCGGTGCGGATCGACCTGTTGTACGGACAATTATGTTAGCTAATACAAACGTTTCTGCGAATACGTCTACATCGCGATCACTAAAAGCGTTTCGGTATATATTGTGCATAATGCGCTTTATTCGAAGAAAATTTCGAACGCTATACGATATGACTATTACATAAGCAAATTATCGATTATCTATAAAAAGTATTTGTTCAATGTCTCTGCTTGCGTAATTATTAAACACACGTGTGTAATATTAATCATTACAATCACATTTGTTACGTTCCAACATGTATATTTAAAAAATGATATTAATAAAGTAAGTAAAAAAGTGATTGATGACTGCTTGATGCGATAATAATCAATGTTTCGAGTTATATATGAGAGCAAGCAATTGCTATTATTAAAATGTAGTTGTAATAAATCAATAAATTAATTAAAGTTGAAGAAAAATACGAGTATGCGTTTATAAAAAGAAAATAAATTATCGTGCATATATTTGAAGAAAATGATCAACTTAAATTTATTACAAGGGTTGTGTATTGTAAAAGTGAAATGAAAAAAAATGTCACGTGAAACATTGAAATATTGCCAATTATGTAATGGCGATGAATGACGCGACAAAATAAGATCTATAATGGTTGAATATACATGAACAGTATAACGCCGCGACTATCCACATTGAATGTTAGTTTACCCAAAGGACTTTCATGTAGTCGTCGATTTAATCGACGATTAAATACGCGCTTCACGCTACGACAACAGTTAGAGTAGTTGCAATTATGAAAATGATGGCAAAGCTGAATGCTATTTAGACGTGTCTATAAGAGCTCCCAGGAGTCGAGAACAATTTTTATTAATTGTGATGGTATATCATGGTATGTTGTAAAAATATATAGATTTTTAAAGGTAAATTTCTTATTGTACTTTTAATATTGCAATAATCAGATAGAGGAAAATAAAAAAAGTTAATTAATATGATCAAGATAAACAGAACATATAAATATGATTAAAGAATGTAAAGAAATGAAGCTCTGCGATATAAAAATAACAAAATAATTATAGATATAAAATATAATAAAATCTAAACAGATTTTTCCTTGAATAAAATTAATATTTTCAATAAATAGAAAATTATAATTATATTAAGTCTTAAAAATGTGTATTTTAATGTAATATGTATTATAAAAATAATATGATAATTTGTATTTTCAGTCCTGTGCGTTAGAGTTTTAGAATTCGAAGAAACACGTGAATTAAAATTGCACTGGATTTTTGTTGCCATCGTTAGCAGGTCGTTTGCTTATCCCGGCACGTCCCACATAAATTATATATCACAACGTCCACACACGTGATCTTATTTTAAAATCGTCAACGGTGCCAAAAGAGTCGGACGATGTATTTCGTTCCCGATGCGCGTTAGACTTTACAATTGTGACAGAATTAAAGCAGAAGGGATGCGGGTTACGAAAAATCACCACTACGATTTTTCATGAAAATGCAATTTCAATATGGTCCCATAAGCTGGTGGCTCGGTTCGAAACTGGTACGAATCGATCTCGATTTCGATAGATCGGACGGGGCACAAAAGTACGATCGGTCAATTAGGATTGCGTACGTAATCCCGGACGTGTGAACGCCCGTCAATGCAGTTTTCATGCACGTCCGCATATGTCCCACATTTCCTATGGCATGCAACTTTATCGTGATTGTGTGCAACGGTATTGTTGACAAAGATTGCAAAAATCCCAGATGAAATTTTCTCAACCGCGTCGCACAATATTCCTAAATTACCTTGTTAACTACAGTTAACCGATTTTATAGCAGTGTTTTGTTAAAAATCCTTTTAATTATTCTACTACATCACAGAAAAAAAGGAATCCTTGATTCAAGTATATTTTTATTCTTGAACGCTATTTGATTGATTTAAGCATAGAATGCTCTTTGTAATCACAAATTTTCATTTGCCTTAATAATAAATAAGTTTGTGTAAAGTATATTTTATCTTTAAGATATATTCTTGGTTTAAAAATCGCATATGGTAAAAACAAACTTAGTCACATTTGAACTATTAGAATTATTATATATACTTGAAAGTACCGCTTATATCCGATGTTCACTTGTCACTTGTCCTTGCAATATTTATAAGCAAATTTCAGCTTCAACCAAGAATATTTTGCACTTTGTTTTAAGGATAAATTATCCTTTATCCAAAATTATTTATATTTGACGCTATTATAAGGATAAAATATACTTGAATCAAGGCATATTTGCATTCTTTCAAGGATACTGTTTTTTCTGTGATAAATTAAAATTTAGTTAAAAAAAAACTATGCATATTATATATATTACACACACAATTATTTATTATCTTCTTAATAAGATAAATTGTTACAGAAATAAATAGACCATTTGTTACAAT